AAAAAAAAAAAAAAAAAAAAAAAAAAAAAAACAGGTGTCATATCCCGACGATCGAGTTGAACCACGGTCAATTGGGTACAGTTTCCACGGCAGCAAAGCTGCAAGTGCGGCTAGCTAGCTAGGTGTTTAAGCTAAAAAAATATTAGTGCAAGTTTCTTTAAGAGTAATTAATGAGTTGTTTTGTTACAATATCTAAAGATGATGTGGGTAATTAGGGTTTCAGCCTTTGGGGAAGAATAGTCTAATCCAAGTTGCTTTGAATGGTGGCAGGCTGTAGGAAAAAGAAAAGCGGCGCTAAGGATGGGAAAGATGAGTGCGGGAAAGTCTATGAATGCAGGTTTTGTTCCCTCAAGTTCTGCAAATCTCAAGCACTCGGGGGACACATGAACCGCCACCGACAAGGCAAATAAGTTTTTTTTTTTTTTTTTTTTTTCTCAGAGAGATTTTTTTTTTCTTCTAGAATATACCCATTCTTGTTCTACAGTCAGTGGTTGTTATAATGGGCGTCATGTCAAATCTTGCAAAAAACTATTGTTTGCTGAAATTCTTGATTGGGTTGTGTTTTGGAGTATTGATTTGATTTGATATGTGTGTTCTTTGTATGTGATCAGAGAGGGAGACAGAAACACTGAACAAGGCTCGACAGCTGGTTTTCAGTAACGATAACAACTTAGCCGCCCCAGGGCATATGGGGTATGTTTAGTTCTTTCCTCTTGTTCCCTCCCCCAATCTTCTTATTATATTTTTTATTGTTCAGTATCTGTAATTCTTGATCATCCTTTTTTACTTTAGCTGGACCCTTTTGAATTTAATTGAGTTCAAAATTTTAATTCTGAAATTAAATTTAGAGATTCAATCTTTTGTTTGGAGTTATATATAGAAATTAGTTTTCGTCAAATTAAATAAAGATTTTTATTTTATGTTTTCATTTAATTGGACAAAAATTCTTCCCTGATCATGATCATTTTGTTTCAACTTCAGCAGCTGTCATCCCAGTTTTCACTCGGGAGGCGGTATTGGCGACCCAACACTACCGTTCCGATCAGTTTACCAGCCGAGACTGTTCTCCGGTTCATCGTCAAACCTGATGCCACCGCCTCAGGCAGCTCAACCGTATCTATACCCGTCGCCGTCTCGTCTCCCTTCCTACCACTCACAATATTCCCCTCACTCCGATTACTATGTGGGCCATGTCCTCGGGAGTGGCAGTACTTCACAATATCCCCACCAAAACCTAAATTTCATTGGGGCACAAGATTCCAACTACACCTGTATTGGCGCACCTGTCGGACATGGGTTTGGACCTGGTTCGAGCCGTGGGTCAGAGAGAGACGGGCCACTGAGCAACCAGGAAGAGGGATTGAATTGGGGTAGGAGCCAGCGCTTGGATCCTCCTTCATCGATCAATCGGTTTCACGAAGGGTTCTAACAGTTTTTTCTTCTTTTTTTTTCTTTTCTCCCTTTAATTTTCTGTATTTTTGGATATGTTTGGTTTGACACGGCACCCAGCCAGAGAGAGACTTAACAAAGTACTGAAAATGGGGTCATGCAAGGAAGGAGAAGAGAGAGAAGCGTTTTGGTTTATGTACAGAGTACAGAGATTGGGGCAGCTTTTTAGCATCAGCTAGTTTGGCTTTGAGCTGTGGGGATTGAAGGGGGTTGTGTTTGTGTGTACTAAACCAACTGTGACTAGAGCTAGGTGGTGGGACAACCAGTTGGATATCAACTGAAGTTCCCAACCCCTTTTAGCATTTCCAGTTCCTTTTTGCATGCCAATCAACTTTTATTATGTAGTGGTATATATTTTTTCTTTCATGCTGTTTTTTGTTTCGTTTCTTATGTGCCCAGTTGATATATATGTCCAACAGTTTTTCTCTTCTTTTCTTTTTTTTTTTTTTTGGTTAAACCAATCAAAATGAAAATGTATATATAATCCACCCAGTACAGAATTATTCTTTTAAGAACATAAGCTAGGGTCACACAATTATATACCTAACTAGCTAGCACTCACAATATGATATCAATATATATGATGAAGGCAATGATCTGACCTAAGAATCGATGATGAAGACAATGTTACAAGCAATTAGTCAACGTATATACGAGAGGTAGAGAGCATAAATATGCACAAGCTTTCACCCTCCAACTGCTGTGTGAATCGGGCGCACATCATTATTGTAGTTTGGCAATTTCGCTACGTCCACAAACACAGGCGCTTGTGAACATGTCTAAAGATATCTCCATCGGCTTTAGTCCTGCACCGTAAATGAACAACCATATACCCACACTGCCTTTTGAGTCAGATATATATAGGTCTTAAGTTTAATTGCATGTGTTCAGTGTCATATCTGATCCAACCGTCTGATATCTCCTATAACTTTAACTGGATCATAGGTGGCAGGGGGGGTTAGGTAACTTGGTTTTGCGATGAAATTGCATACTGTTTAAAGAAAGAGACGCGACCCTCAAAATGACTTAGCAGCATTAATATTCAGCTGCTACTACAAATAATCAATCAAACAAAAGAACGGCCAAGCACTGTCAATACATATGTATACAATGTCCTGGTCCATTTCCAGTCCCATAGGAAGGCAATGCTCAGTGGCGCCATAGGAGAAGCCTTAGGCTTCGCAAAGCCAAGTATTCTGTATATCAGCAACAATAAGAAAGATAATATCCTGCTTTGGTCTATAAGAGCCTTGATGTTACTCTTTAGTTTCTCTCGTGCCATATGTAGTAAAACGATGAATTCCATGCTAGCTTGATCAAACAGTACTTATAGAGAGATAGAACTTCGCAATTTTTGCTCTTAATTTAGTGTAATACTTAATCCCAAGTTCGAACATAGACAGTGAATTTTCAACCATTCTCCCTTTGTATAGATCAATTGCCCTCATTTTTTTAAAATAAATAAATAAATAAATAAAAATAAAAAAGGATGATCATGACCGAGAGAGATTGAACCTTAGCTAGCTAGCTGGGTGGTTGGGTTGTCGTGATTGTCATATTTTTTATATTGAATGATCAAAATTTGGGATCTTCTTGAAGTTTGAGGCATGTATGCATGATTACAACATGCTTGCACAATACGGGCAATGACCTAGAGAGAAGTGGCTGTAACTCCCATCCAATACTTTATTTCTGAAACTTTACTGATCACCAAAAACAATCAACCACTGTGTCAAGAAAAAGTCTGTATGATCAGTACAGTAGTAGTGTTTTTTCTTTCTCATCACTTTCTCACTTAGTCATAAATAATATTGCTGATCATTTTAAATGCAGAGTTAATATTCCATTTCTTCCCGTATCCCAAATAAGAGAAGGCAAGCAATAAGTCAAAAAATTAATTAATATTAAATCCTTGTTATCTGATCATAACTTGTAATCTGACTTCAAGTATGGTTACAGATCTGCAGAGCGAATGGTATGTATGTCCTCTCGAATTTATTGATTAATTTATTGCTATATTTACCCCCTCTGTTTTAAAACAAATTAATTTTTATTTGACTTTTTAGGTACAATGCGAAGTATGGGCGGTGTTATTGCCACAGCCACTAATGTTAATACCACAGCTTTTTTTAATTGTTTGACTATTATACCCCTCATTTGAATCCAACTTGCAGCAGTCACCACCTTCTCCGCGTGGGTTAATTGTCAATTAATTAAAAAAGCTGTGGTATTAACCTTTGAAGCTGTGGCAATAACACCACCCGCGAAGTATGCTTTACTTTTATGTAATACTTTTGTATAAATATATGAATAAGAATGTTTGTTTCATTTTTCTTTTATTTGTGGTGATTATTTAATAGTTTTATTTGATAAATTTTTTTTCAATTGCTATTTATAAACAAAGTATTCATCTAATATTTATATATATATAAAAAGTAAAAATAACACTTTATTTTGAAAAATATATTTTTTTTTCTGTCAATATTTAGTTGTCATATTTTTGTGTGGCACAATAAAAGAAAATATATATATAAAGTAAAAATAACACTTTATTTTGAAAAATATATTTTTTTTTCTGTCAATATTTAGTTGTCATATTTTTGTGTGGCACAATAAAAGAAAATTTAATTTAATAAAAAAAATACAAAAAACACTTATTACTCCTTAAAATTTCCTCTTTTTTTCCCTTGAAAGAGGTGGAATAAAAAGTTTGTTAAAGGCCTTTTAAAAGGGTAAAATTGAAATAAAACATTTAATGCATTTACAAAAAAAAAAAAAAAGTGTGATAACTAAATGTGGATAATCTTATTTAGTAAATGTGACAATTAAGATTTGACATAGGTAATACATAGACATTCAATGAGAAGCATTTTTGAACATATTTGAGAGAAACTAAATAAAATTAAAAGCAGGAAACAAATGTTAGAAACTAATAATTTTTGCAAAAAATGTTGTGAAATTCAAATTACGTAAATTATTAGAAGGGACAAATCTTTTAATATTGGAGTTTTTCTCCCTATCCAATGAATGATTGCTATTTTATAATCTGATAATTGTTCATATTGCAAAACATGATAACTCTTATTTTTTACATCAAATCTCTATAAGTCTTATTTTTTACATCAAATCTCTATAAGTTTCCAACTTGAACTCAAAACCTCATCATATTGCTTTAATTAGAGAAGGGAAGTGATATTGCTGATCAGATGATGTACAACATATACACAGAGTTTAATTGTGTTAAAATTTAAACTAAAAGGAGTAATTAATTATAAAATCTTAATTTAGAGTCAAGTGTTTATGTACAAGGAAAAGAAAAGAAAAACGCAGTTAGTATTGAGGTTTTGCTTACTCAAGGCTCAAGCTTAATAATTATCCAACTTTCCCAAATTAATTTCAGACTCCCTGTAAGGCTGTAAAGCAGAAAATGATGATCATCACCATTGCTGTCCTGATTACCATAACAGCAGTACAAATCACAGCTTATAATCGTATATATTTTGGGATTTGTCAATCAAAACAACAATTCTTATAAACCAAAAAACCCATTTGGATTACCTTCTTGTCTCTTCTCTCCTGCATACAATTAATAGGGTTTTGTTTCTTTCCATCGAGCACAGTGGTACTGTTCATAGTTTTCTGTTGTTTCAAAAGCTAGCTATACAAACCCTAGGAACTAAAAAGCTAGCATAAGCTACACAGACAATTTAATGCTGCCAGAGAGCAGAGCAATGGTAGTCCTGAAACCCCCCCAAGAAAAATTGCCCAAATGCATCATTACATAAAAATTGAAGAAATCTAGATGGTCCCAGGTGCATGCCCGAGACGGCAAGGTTTATGAGGGTTGTGGGATGCTGGTTAGGATGTTTGCTTCAAGTTGCCAGTAAGGGGGCTCCAATTGGCGAACTTGGAGACCACGGGGTGATGAAGAGACAGTTTGAGAAAGGGAAAACAAACTCAAAGTAAAGGGTGGCTAAGGGCTAACCCTAGCCCTAACATGTACCCAAAAGCGCAATAGGTTAAGCTAGCACTGCGACACTGTCGACCAGTAGCGTGCCATTATCAGAGGTATACAGAAATACAGTAGTCTCTCAAAGCTATATATAGTGATTAATCGAAACTGCATCGAGAAAATTGAAAGGAAATCTTAGAGTGGATAAAGAGAACTGCTTCTCTTAGTCGTTGATTCATTTGTGATATGGTTAATTTCACTGCTTTAAAGAGTGATTTACCTGGTTATTTAACCGTGGTCTTCTTCATCTTTCTGTTGCTTAAATTAACGAACAAGAGCAAAAGTGTTAATTCGATGAAATTTTAGTCCTCAAACTTTTATCTTCTCTTAATTAAGTCCATGGCAAAAATATAAAATTACGTGCGTGACATATTTTATGATTAGCTACATTCTTTTAGTAATTTTATGATTATGATTAACTATTTAATTTGAATTGATGAAGATGTGTGAATATCCATCCTTACAATTTGATGCCATATATTTATTATGGTCTATTCGACTAAACTGAAAAAACACTTTTTCTCTCTAAAGTTATTGCCTATTAATATTATTTTTAATGTCTATCTGAATAAAAATTAGTAAAGGGAAGGGTAAGGAAGGGAGGGAAAGAGATGGGAGCATAAGCGAGAGGAAGAAAATAATTGATGTTAATTTTGTTTGGATAAATGAAAGTAGAGAGGAGGGAATAGTGATATTTTTATTTAATTAAATAATTTTAAAAAATAAAACAAAACAAAATAAAATATTAAAAATTTAGTAATTAAAAATAATTAAAATAAAATATTTTTATATATTTATTTTATAAAAAATTAAAAAATATTAAATTTGTAAATTAAATCCCTCACAATTCATCCAATTTAAAGAAATGGAAAATAAGAGTGGAGGGGACTCTATCATCGCTCCATCCTCCTTCCCCTCCATTAATAAAGAAAAACAAACAAAACTAGGGAGACATCTACCCCTCACTTACCTCCCATTCCCCTCCAAATACCCCAATTCAAACAAATGCTTAAGCTTTGAGCTTTAAATAATCTCTTGGTCTTTTAAATAACACGATAAGGCTAGATGTTTGGTTGGTAATAGTGACTATTTCTTGGTTAAAACTATAAAAATAAGGTAAATTTGAAAAACTTTCTTATAGTAGTTAAATCCTTAATATTTATAATTTTCAACTTATAAACTAAAGGTATGTTTAGTTTGAAAGAAATAGAGGAGTCTTTCCATTTCTTTTTCTCCCCTCATTTGGATAAATAAATGAATTAAAAATAAAAAATAAAATAAATGAGTTCTCTTCCCTCCAAATTTTTTTCAAACCAAAGAAAGAAATTATCTTCCCACCCCTCCCTTTCCCTCTCCCTTCAAATCAAACATACTCTAAGGGACGAATAAGATTATGTTTTTTTTTTTTTTTCATTTTTTAAAGAATAAGTATTCCTTGCTCATTAACTAATTTAAAAGAAAATCAAACATTAAGCTTTATAAGCTACATATCCTATTTTCTTATGAAAGTTAATCAATTTTAACTTTTTTCTATAGTTTGACCAAATGATACTACCACCAACCAAACAAGCCCTAAAGTATTATCCATCCTCTAGTAATTTTCTATAAAATAAATAACAAGGGGTGTGATTATTATCACACTCTAAAATATTAATGTCACACTAAAATGATATGCTTTTACTTTTATATTCCTATGATTAATGGGTTTTTAAAAACATCCCTTCCATTTACTTATGGACAAAGAAGTAAAAAAAAATAAATTATTTAGTCTGACATTAATTCTTTAGAATGGATAATAACATCATCTGCAATAAGTTAACAGGACATTAGTTATGTTGCAAATTTTAATGTAAGTTTAAACAATATATATTTGGGGTTTTTTTTTTTTTAAAAGAAAAAAATTTATTTATTTAGAGTATAAAAGATATTTTAATCTATATACATTGATTAGATATGCCACATATTATTGGCAAGGCAACGGTGAGTCAGAGTATGCTTTTTTGATGTAAATGGGTTTGAGTATCCCTTATACTCAAAAATATAATCTTTTTTGCCTTTAAAAAAAAAAGATATGCCACATATTATTAAAGTGAAATATTTTATTGCCAACTTAAAGAGAAAAAAAGAAATGAATGTTTTTGCTTTTCTTAATCAACATAAACCCTCCAATTATCCCTTTCTCATCCTACCACCCAGTAATGGTTTGCTGCAATCAGCTGGTTTGGTACACCTGTCCGTGAAATTAAGAGGCATTCAAGCCTTCACCTCTTCCATTAATCCACTGAAAAGCCCTTGCTTGAAGTAGCTCAAAACTATGATCCATACTTGCCATAGTTCCTTTAAAAACTTGCCACAATGTATATTTGGGTTGAAGTACTTTTGTGCTCATAAATAATAAAATTTTGATTTATCAAAATGTAAAAAAAATAGAGATTTATATATTTTCTATACATTATTAAGCAGTTTTAAAAATAAGAAATATATTTTAATATCAATTTCCAAAGAGTAGATTAAGAACTCTGTGAGTGGGATCTAAACCAAAGGCATTGAGATTTTAACTTTTTTAATGTCCAAACCTTCCTTCCATTTTCATTAAATCAATGAACCAGTTCACTGAATCACAACAAAGAGAAAAGCACCATATTCATCTGTTACTCTGTTCAGCTGATTTGGCTCTCTCTCTCTTTCTCTCTCTCTCTCTCTCTCTCTCACCCATATTCAGAAGGATTTATGTCAAACCCACAGTCCCGTACCTTTCTCGAATATATCTCGGGATTGCACCACAGAGCCAGGGACACATTTGTTTTAATTATTTTCCAGGGCTTAATTAATTAATTACTCCTGAATTCTGATGTGGCAACATCGATCTCCTACCAAACTGTATGTACACACAAAAGATTTTTTTCTTTTTTGGATCGGCAACTATATACACTAAAAAGGTTGCATTTCTTGGTATTTGACTGTCCAATCTGTGAGAGAGTAATTGTGCCGAAGCAGACGGCCATGGACGAAAGCAAGTGAGAGAGAGGTTATCTTAGTCTAAGTTTCATGCAACCAAGCATTAATCTCAGTGAGTACTTACAAATCACCTCTGTAAAAAATGGAGTTCTATACTTATAAATGAATACTTGAAAAAAAAATTTAGCAGGTACAATTTGAATATAAATAATGAAGAATTTTTAATACGACAATATTATAACTTAAAATTTAGTCATTATTAAAATATTAAATGTATTTAACAACTAATTTATAAGGTCTAGTGTAATTTTTTTTTTTTTTTTTATGAGCGAACAATCAAAGAGTTTTTAACTTACCAAATGAACCTCCACTAATAATATAGATTCTGCTCACTCAGGCAATAACAACTGATCCATGAGAGGAATGTTTAAAGCTGCTGCATTAAAAATTTAAGTAACATTTTTTGATTTGTCTTCTTCGTCCCGAATCTGATAATGATCACCTTGTCCTTTCTTTTATTACCAGCTTTTACAGTCGTTTTTCCAGCCCTCAGTCGTTGTGTCTTAATTAATTATCCTTTGCCAGCTTGAATTTGTTTATTTTTTTCGATACTCCCTATCTTTACAATTTACAATTGATGAAAAAGGAAACAAGAATATTTCTATTTTGGAATAGAAATGTTTTTTTAAGTAGTAAGAAGAAAATATTATAATAATCACAAAATGGTAATAATTTATATACTCTATTTTGTTTTAAAATAATAATTATTTTTTAATTTTTTTCTTAAGTTAAAAATTTAAGAACAATAATTGTATTTATCTATAATATACCTAAAAAAAAAGTAAAAGGTAAAGAGAGATTTTTTATAATTGGATAATTAATTAAAGTGAATGGATAATAATAGGGTTAAAGTAAGAGAAAAATATTTGTCTATCTTAAAAAATAAAAAAATAACAATTAATTTAAAACAAATTCAAAATAAAAAAACAACAATCATTTTAAAGCAGAAGGAGTATTTATTGTTAGGGTTTCTAAGTCAACTTTTACTTATCTAGAAATAAGATGATCTTAAGGTATACTTTAATATTAATTCGATGCATTCAAAAACAAATTTTTTTTTTTTAAATCTCAAAATTTAAATCTTGAATTTGATATGTTAAAAACACTTACTTATCAGTAAATTTAAAATGATATTGAAAATTTTTAATTTGTGCTCTTAAGACAAAGGTTAAGGGTTATTTATTGCACATTTTTATGTTTAACTTGTTTTGAAAAAATAAAAAAAGACTTAAATTTTATTAGTTGTTCAGTTAAATTGCGTCAC